ACCTCCTAGGTTGGCAGGCCCCATTTCAGAAGCTTGTCTTCACCTTCCTCTGTCTGCTGCCAGCATAATAGAATCCTGCCCTCTTAGAAGGGAACACCAGTTAGTTTATCCTGCTTAATCGTTTTCTTCCCAGGTTGAAAAGACCCCCCACAGGCCTACTGTTGACATAGTGAATGAGCTAAACCCTCCTTTGACAAGAAAAGCTTGAAAGTGACTTTGCTCCAGAGTCCTGCTGCTAAGCAGCCAACCTTGCTGGAAGGAAACTTGACTGTTTCCTTTCTACCTTAAAATCCTCTTGATTTAGGTTGAAACTTTTTATTGGAGTTGGGCACAGTTCTGACAACACTCGTATTTCCATTGTAGAACTAAACTCCAGGTTATTCAGAAGTGGCTTAGGTTAGCTAATTGGCCATGGCATTTCAGAGCAGAAAGAGGCCTTGAGGGTCAGCGGGTCTGCCCCGTTGTTTGGGAAGGCCCCCAGAATGCCAGAGTTAGGTGCTGTTTCTCCCCTGCACTTCCCTCTCTGTGTCATCCAGGCAGCAGGCGGGCCCCTCAGCATCTGCAGCCAGCACAGTGCCTGACATGCAGTATTGGTGAGTGTTGATGCCAAAGCCTGCAGGGTGTGGGACTGTAACTGGACCATGGGTTCAACTGGGAGCATCTCTGCAGAGACAGGAAATGGACCTATGTGGCTCGTGGAGGGAGGCTGCCGAGGTTCCGCCCACCACCCGTTCCAAGGACAGCGCTGGACTCTGACCCAGAGCAGCAAAGGCGATGAGAACTTGGCCATGGCCGTGTCTTGGGGGCATATAGGTGATTGAAAACTTCCATTCTCTGGAGTAATGACAATTCTCATGTATATAGGGAAGAGAACCCTTGTTTATTGAGCATCTACATGTCAGGCACATAGTGTCTCACTGATATATTTCTATACTGTATAGAGTATCTCAGTCCTCAGGAGAACCCTGGGGATGGCTTTGTTTCCATTTTCCAGAAAAGAAAACTGAGGCTTAAAGAAGTTAACTGATTTTCTCAGTCATATAACTAGGAGATTAGGAACTGAGATTCAATGGCAAGTCTTTCTACACAAGGCCCATAAACTTTCTTAATTTTTTCTATTATAAAGCCAATAATACAGGAATAGTTTCTCATTATAAAAATGTAAAATAGCACTAAAGGACATAGAATAAAACACACAAGTCTCCTTTATCTTCCTTCCCCCAACCCACTGGCCTCCCCTAACAAAGCCTTTTTGACAATTTGGCCTGAATCCTTCCAGATATTTCTCTCTGCATCCACACAGAAATGTACATGTACATGTGCATTCACACACATATGCACACATATATATCCATATACTCCTATATAGTGAAATGCACAGATACATAAATAACGCTACTGCACTGTAGCTTCTTAATTAGGAAAAATAAATTACCATGAACATGTACTTTCTTCTGTTTCATTTGTAGGGAAAAATTGTAATCATTTAACATTTATTGAGCACTTACTGTGTGCCAGACACTGCACTCAGGTACTTTACGTGTATCACTGTGTGTGCGCTCACAGGTAGTACCCGGAGTCATCCTTTGCTCATGAGGCATTTGGAGCACAGAGAGGTTAAGAGATTGCTCAAGTGCACACAGCGAGGAAGAGGAGAGGTGGAAGCCAAACCAGGGCTGGCTCTGGAGTCTATGCTTTTAACCATCACTTGGATGCCTCCAGAGATGTCTGACTCCTATAGAGTCAGGGCTTGGTGGTAACAGAGTGGCTTGTTCCACTTAACTGGGATCATCCTCATTGGGTTCCTATGGAAGTGTACTGTCTAGTGAAGTAACTTCTGGAACATTCTCCATCCCTAGGCCAATCCCTATTGGCCAGTGATGTCCTCAGCATTCTCCCTGCAACCAGCACTGTGTGCTTGTGAATGAGCGTGAGTTCCTACACAGAAACAGTGGCTGGCACAAAGCAGGTGCCCTGTTGGCTCTTACTCTCCTTACTGTGCAGTTCAGAGGATGCCTTCACATGCAGTATTCACTTAATTCCTACCACAGCCCTGTGAGGAGAGAATGGCATCATCAACCCACCTGACGGCTGAGGCGTGGAGGCTCAGGTGACCTGACACGGAGTGTCTCCTGGCCCTTAGTGTTCAGTGCTGTGACTAAAACACACACCTTCTGAAGGCAAGGGTGGCTTTGCCCTTCGATTTTGTACCACTGTGCCTTCCTCTAGGATGGCAGGTGTCTGGTATCTGACTATACTGCTTCCTTATTAAACATAGTTTTGCTCGGCATCAAAGTGTTCCCATTCGGAGAGCAGAGCATTGGTTCTCAGAGTTGACCACACGCTGAGATCACATGGAAATACGTGGGGCTTGAACCTCACATTAGGAAAGAACTTGGGGTTCATTTGCAAGGATTGCAGTTAGCCAATAGCTTTCAGCTGCCGTGCCTTCAGGACGGCCCTCCGTTCTTCCTTAGCAGCCCAGCCCCCAGCCAGTGCTAAGCAAGGCAGGGCTACCAGGATCTGGCTGTTTTGGCCCAATGGGGTCGGTCTCCTCTCACAGGCAGCCTGTGCCCCAGAGCTCCCTGTTGGCTGAACACCCCGTTTTCAAATCCACTTTGCAGGCGGAGACTCTCTGACCAGTCCCGCCTCCTCCCTGTTTTCCTTTCAAGGGTGTCAGATGCACACTGCAGTCCTAAGGGCTTCTTTGCCCAATTCTGCCTCTTCCCTTTTTTAAGAAAAAAAGATTTTATTTATTTATCTTAGAGGGGAAGGGAAGGAGAGAAGGAGAGAAATATCAATGTGTGGTTGCCTCTCGTGAGTCCCCTGCTGGGAACTGGTCTGCAACCCAGGCATGTGCCCTGACAGGGAATAGAACCACAATCCTCTGGTTTGCAGGCTGGAGCTCAATCCACTGAGCTAAACCAGCCAGGGCCTGCCTCTTCCCTTTTTATCTTTCACAGGCATTTACCCCAAATAACTGCTTGCACATCCAACTCCAATTTAGCATTTGCTTCCTGGGGGACCCAGCTCATCTACCAGGGGAGTTTTAAAAACTACTGATGCCCCCGAGATTTTTATCTCATCCGTCTGCAGTGCAGCCTGGGTGATTCCAGTGAGCAACCCAAGCTCAGAGAAGAACAGTTGAGGCAGAAGTCCCATGTGTTTGGGGTTAGAAAAGGATGTGCTCTCTCACAGTTCACTGGAGCTTCCACAAGTCATTTCTTTAGGTTCTTTTCAAATAAAATAGGACCCTACTTTGCTAATCCATATATGCTAATTTTTAATCATCAGTTCCTTCCTGCAGTTGTGAAAGGAAGCTGGCGTTTTGAGAGGCACCTTCTGAATTCCTGACATTCTACCTGATGCTTTATATGTAACTTAGATATGTGGTGTGTTTACCCACAAACTCATATCCTCATGAAAATAAAAGTAAGGCAGAATTTAGGAAAAGTTCGATGGCACTGACCTGATGACTTTAACCTTGATATGATCCTTTTTTGCCTTTCTGTAGTCAGCGGTATGGTTCCGGAGTTGGCCCTTGGTGTGTGGGACTTGGCGCTGTGATTTTTAAGTGCTGATGTATGTGCTGCCTCCTTCACCAACTACCCAATAAGCTCCTGAGGACAAGAATGCTGCCCAATCGTGGCCACACACCCAGCCCATAGCGCAGGGCCTGGCACAGAGTAGGTCTCCCTCAAGGGTTCGAATAAAAGGACAAAGGCACAGAGAACCAAGACATTAGAGTAGGCTTGGTTATAGAAGAACAAGATATCACCCTCAAAGAACATTCAATACCCTACAAAGTCATTTTTATTGATAAATATGTTATTACTTTGTTGCATATATTCATCAACACTTCTATAGCAACTACTGTACATCCGGCACTGTTACAAGTGATTTACAAATATTAATTTACTTAATTCTCCTAAGAGCCTTTGTCCTCCACCAGGGGCTGTAGGACTTCGGGGAGAAGAGGGCATGGAGGGCTCCGAAATGGCTTGGACGGCTTCACAGAAAAGGAGGAGTTGAGCTGCCCTTTAAGGAATGTGTAGAACCAGGCAAGGAGAGTGAGGATGGAATCCAAGGAACAGGGAGTGGCATGTGAAGAGGGGCGGAGTCAGGAAGATGTACTGCTCTTTGGGGGAACAGGAGGGGCCTGCTGCTAAGGGAGCGGAGATGGGAGCAGGCGGCCAGCTGATGGCGGGGAGCCCAGAGCACCCAGCTGTTGGGCGCTGGGCTTTGGCTTGTCTGCCGCATCAAAAACATTCCGGTTGACGCATCTCAATCCAAACCACATGAACAAAGGGGGTCGTGATTCTAAGGGTTAAAAACGGCATAATGATTTTTGGCCATATTTGAGGAAAATCACTGTCCTAGCTTTGGAGAGTTCACATAAATGGAGCCGTGGGGAGGCCCGGATGTTTCCTACAGTATCCATGCCAATTGTTGCCCCCACTTGCCCTGGTCTTTCCTTTTTTTTTTACCCTGAATATCCCCCCTTCTGCTCTTCATACAACAGGCTTTCAAGATTCTTCATCACCCTGTTCATCCTTCTCTGACTGTGGTCTCATGGATATTTTAGCTCTCACATGGTGGGGTCCAGTCTAAAGAATCCATATTCAACTCTCTACCGGCTAACTATGTATTTTGTTACTCAGTCCTGTGTTGGGCCTTACTCCAAAAAAATTGGGAAGAGCTGATTGTGAGAGAAACCACGTGAGTATTGGGATAAAACTGCCTTGTCAATGGAGGCATTAAAACAACCAGAGAAAAAGATCACACAGTGTTTTTTTACCCTGCCCTTCCTTTGGACACATTTTCTTCCCTCATCTAAAGGAGGATTCAAAAATCTGAAAATGAGGAAATGAATTTCCTAAAATCTGGGTGGGGAAGATCGAGCATCTCAGGTTTTTGGCAGGACGTGCGATACCCACCAGGCCTCTCACGGGGTCTCGGCCCTCAGGCCCCTCTCTCTCTCCCTTCTCAGGAACCTGGACATGCCCAGGACGATGTTCACAAACTCCAGGGAGCGGTGGAGGCAACACAATGTCAACAGCGCCTTCGCCAAGCTGAGGAAGCTCATCCCCACTCACCCTCCAGACAAGAAGCTGAGCAAAAACGAGACGCTTCGCTTGGCAATGAGGTACATCAACTTCTTGGTCAAGGTCTTGGGGGAGCAAAGCCTGCAGTCGACAGGAGTGGCTGCGCCAGGAAACATTCTGGGACTCTTCCCCCAAGGACCCCACCTGCCGGACAGGACTCTACTCGGTGACTAGCAGGTTCCTTCACCTGGCCCAAGCCACCACATCCCCTAAGTGTGGCTGTGACTGTCATCACTCTGGGAAACTTTCGTTCAGAAGTCACTGGCCATCGACAACCCTGTGCACGTTGGAGAGTCAACTTGATTAGGCATGAATTTAAGCGTCATAGGAGGTGGCTGAGAGACAGTGGCAGGGAGCCGCAAGGAGGCCATTAGAAGGTGGCTTTGCAGTCCATCACCTCTGGGGCTTTGGGTAAAGCGGTCTGTTTCTGTCTATTTTATATATCCAAGATCTGCATAAGATGTTGTTTGAAGGAAGAACAATCATAGGTTAAAAACAGGTTTGAAAGTCACTGTTTCACTCAATATGATTTCGGTTATAAGGAAGAAGTTTTCTTGCAATGCATTTCAGATGAGTAGAAAATGCTCTTCCCTCAGAACACATTTTAAAGTTTGTTTTGAAAAATGTAGCATGTTTGATGAAGGGCGAACAATGTAAGTTACTTCCAGTTGGTAAGTGTATAGATAGCCCTGGCAGAAAAAAAAATATCCTGGAGCCTTGTGAGAAAATCGGTGGAGAAAAGACCCTCTTGACATGTAAGGATTACAGGAACACAACTGATACCTGTGGAAGGGCTCTGCATCCTTGATCTCCATGGAAAGGTGAAGTGTTACCTGCACTGAGCCATTCCTATATGTGTTATCTCTAAAGCCAAATGGTGGATTATATCTGTGAGAGGCAAGGCCTTGATCATTTATGAATTAGAGTTCTTAGTTTTCTCATGAAAAGCAGCTTAAACAGGGTTACCTAACCCCTCAGTTTCACATGCCATGTGTTAATACTTCTAATTCAGCCTGAGTTCCTGCAGACTTAAGACCCATAAAATTCAAATATAATTATGAAAATCCAAACATTACCATTTAACGACTCATTTAACGGACAGCTTAGTTTAAACAAAAGATTTAGAGTAGACAACAGGACTGTAATACCAGACCCCAATGAATTAATGAATTTGGAAGTTGTCTTCCCTGCTATGGAGCATGGGCTCAGTCTTACTCCGGGAAGCGTGGTACCGACGGGTCAAGGGAACAGTGCGGATGTGGCATAACTCGCCACCACGTGCCACCCGACAGGCCTTGGGTTCAGAGATGAATTCCACAGGTGAGTGCAGAATACAAATCATGTCATCGGATTGTCTCTGGGCCATTTTATCTCCCCAAAGTTCTTGATAGTACATTGGTTTCAAAACCTTCTGAACCACCCAAAGGAAATTGATGGGTTTGCGATACGGATTCCCAGCATGTACACAATAGAGGAATTTAAATTCCAGCCCCTCGAGAAAGAAGATATTTGATTTACAAAAGGTTGGAATGAGTTTCATTGGTTTGGTGGTCAGAATAAACTTAGATGAGGCCCTGTCAAGTCTCACTTCCCCAAAGAGCAAGGGCATTATGTCATTAAACACTATATGGCATTCACACTGGTAACACACTGCCTGCTACAGAAGCAATGCATTCCCCTCTAGTTCCTCTCTTTGAACTGCATTTAGCAAACTTCCCTGTGGGCCCAGAGTAGTTCAGGGAAACACATAAGCACGGGACCATGGGATTTCCCTGCAGGGTGCATTTCTTCCTCATGAGTATAGGTGGACATAAGTTTGTCTCCAGGCTACCAAAGCTTTGATGATAGTTGTCGACTGAGCAGCATGACTTACTCTCTCATCTGGTATTAATCAAAATCACACTTTGACAGTATTTTTGTTTGGATCGCAGGCCCACGCTCAATCCACTGAGCTACACCAGCCAGGGCTTGACAGTATTTTTGTACGGACTTCATTTAACATGTTGCCAAGGAAAGGCGCCGAGGGCCTTCCCCTGGAATGTAACAGGCTGCTCCTAAGAAGTTGCAAGGAGATGGAGTTATCATTAAACTCTGCGAAGGGGATAAATGTTTAAAGAAATCCCTTTGATAAGTGAATAAACACTTAACATATTCCTTCATGTACTTGACCTCTGACGTGATTTCTTTTGCAAGCTTGGATTTTAGTATATCAAAGTTGTGTGTGAGGTTAAAATGACTGTCAAAAGGAGTTTTAGATATATGTGGACCAAAACCTTGGCAAGGTATTCATACGATGGGAAGCTAAGAAAAAGGTCACTCTGTAGTCCTCCATTGGCGTCGTATAGTTAAGGCTTGGTGGTTGCCATGGCAAGAATTTATGGTTCCGACGTATCGCAGCTCGCTGACAGCACGTCCCTCTGTGGATCCTTGGACCCAGCAGAAGAGTTTAGACGGATAACATCATCTCGGCTGCTCTGTTACCTGAACATAAGTGTTTGGCCTGCTAAGGACACCACTGGAAACTTCTGGAAATCAAGTATGAACAGGTCCATTTATTTATATAGATTTTTTAGATTGGCTAATTCTACTCATATGACAGAGGAGGAAACAGAGGATGCAGAGGATTCGGAAGTGGCTTTGCAGTGTCACGTGGGCAGTTAGTGGGACCCCAGTGTCAGGTCTCCTGACCCCGCGTCCAACCTTCCTACAGCCTCGTTTGGTCCACTTTAAGATTGAAAGTGGACAAGGACCTCATGATTAGACTCATCTCTTTTCCATAACCTTCCATGCCTTTTTATTGAAATTGAATTATTGTGCTTTGTAGAATGTGGTTAGAAGTATCAGCCAAAGATTTTATCTGTTTTGTGATATTTTACCATCGATTCTGATGTACTATTTAACTAATAATTTATTGAAAATAAATTAAGAAAAGAAACTGTTCTTTTTTTCTTTTTACAAAGAATTTCACAAATTAACTACGCATACCATCCGCCCATTCAGTTCATCCTCACAGCCAGTCTTCCGCCTTTGAATGCCCACCCCTGACTCTGTCTTTAGTCTGGAAAAAAGTGCTGCACCCCAGCAAACCAGGCCCTGTGTAGCCTGACCCCAGTGTATTCCTTCCCTTTACCTTCCAGAGTCCCCCCAGTGAGCTGTACGTGCTAATGAAACCACTTCGCCTGCCGGTCCTCGGACACACCCCACTTTGAATACCTCCAACTTTACTCTTCTGATCCCATCTGCTCGTATGCATGTCCCCACTCCCCTTTGTGTTACTCACTCCTCCACCTGCACCAAATTCCACCTGCTAAAATCCTTCATGAATTTTCTGAAACACCACTCCTTCAGCAAGCCTGACTCATCTTAAACATTTCTTACAGAAAGTCCTCCTAGATTTCCACCACTTAGTCCATCCTCGCCTTCCTTAGCATCCCTCATGTCCTTCCCAGCACTTATTTCCTTCACCCTGTGCTTCAGATACTGGGTATATTCTGTCCCCTGCCCCCCAGCTCAGATCTCCTTGACACAGTGACAGTTTCTATCTAACATCTCATCCAGAAGTCAGCCCTGCAAGTGACCTCACTTTCCAAATGATAAGAATACTCCAGCCCCTCCTAAACGATGGCATTGATGTAAGACTTGAATAGGCTGAATTTTACTGAGAACCCCAAAGTCTAAAGCTCATCTTAAACATTTGTTTCTCATAATACCCCTTCAGCATGGCCCTTGCAGCACCTGCCTCGGGAGGTCCATCACCTAAGAATGGCTCGAGGCGGCCACACTGTATCAGCTACACACAACAGGCTTTGTTCTCAAAAAGGCAAAAGATGAAAGGGGTCTGGGAGAATGGACAGCTTAACTGCTGACCCACAGGTCAAAGGGTAGTGAAAAGTCACATCCTTAAGTCAAAAGGTCAAAGATAAGGGGGGAATCTAAAATCTCAGAGGCAGTGCAAAGTGAGGGATTCAAAGTGGCAGGTGCTACGAAATGCCAAGGAATGAATGTAATTAAAAGGTTACAGTGAGCTGGGCCAGAGTCTCCGAAACTGAGCACTCACTTCTGCAACTCCTGGAGTTTACTATGAACAGGCACACTTTCCATTTTGTGTTCTCTTTATTGCTAAGGATCTACCGCAAGAAGATTTCACTAAGCGCTAGCTTTTTACATATGCCTTAGAGAGTTTTGTAATCTACCAAAACAACTTACACTCTAAGAATTTAGTTTCCAGAGCACAGCAATTCCCTGGTAGTTGAGTGAAGTAGGCTGTTGAGTTGTTTCTCCTGGATAACTTGAAAAACAAACAGGATTATTCAGTATGAGCTTACACTTGTGCCTAAGTAATAATTATCCTTCTAGGAATGTATCATAAAGAAATAATCAGAATTATGGTCCAAGAATTATGCATGTGGATATCTATTTCAGAATTATTGACATTGTAAATACAAGTAAAACAAAATTATAATAAGAAGAGTCAGAAGACTCACTGAGTGCTTACTATAAGCCAGGTGCTGTGCCCAGAGCTTCATGAGTATCAGCTCACCTAATCTTCATGACAGTGTTCTCAAGACTATATTGGTTACATGTATTGTTCTCACTTCACAGATGAGGGAACTGAAGTGCAGGAGATGATTTAACTTGCCCAAGCTTCCATCAGAGTTCCTAATTCTTTTTGACCCTAACCACCTTAATGGAACCTCATGGACCAGACATATTCCTCAATAACCCTGTTGGGTAAACAAGCACAACCCTGAAAAGAAAAAATGAAGCCTCCTGCTCTGAAGCCCTAAGCCGGGCCAATGCCTCCATCGGACACAGGGAGTGGACTGTCCTGCCCCCGCAGGCTTGAAGGTGCACCTGTTGGGGTGGCTGGTTTGTTCTGCTGCCTCGACTTGGTGGGGTGCCAACGTGAGGCGGCTTTATTTTTGTTCCCTCCCTGCCTTCAGCCGAGCTCTGCCTAAGCTTCCTTCCCCACCCCATAATGGCATGTCAGGCAGAGCCCATGCTGTTCCAGTCTCTCGGGCCAGTTCAAAGGCCTGTCTCATCTCCTTCTTACCTCCACCCCTGCCCTGGCTCCAGAAGGACCAGGGTCAGGGCTCTGGCACTGCGATTGTGTGTGAGTGTGTGTGTGTATTTCACACAGGGTGGGAAATGGCTCCTCTACAGCTCCTACCTGC